TTGCCTGTTTTACAAAATTGTTTCACTTACTCTTTTAATTATACCTAGTTTTTTCAGGTTTCCCTGTTTCCATTCTATAATGGAAATAGTGTTATTACACTGTCATTTTCATATTTTGTGTTTAGCTACTTTCTCTGCTTTTTCATTTTTTTCTTTCTTCTTTTTATATTAATTTTCACTCATTCTATGTTTTCTTTTCCATTAAATTTATTTACTATATAGTTACATAGCTATCACCATCTCAGAAAACATAAGCATATATTGAAGTATATATTTAAGTATTCTCTGAGGACAGGAACTAGTTTCAAATTGATTGATCAATGAGTGATAAACTAAACTCAATAAAAGTCTTGGGCAGAAATCAGATGCAAGTCTAAATTATGACTTAAGAAAAACAAACACACACACCACAAGATATCCTTGGAGTAACCTTCCTGGAAGTTCTCTAAACACTAGAGTTTTGCTTCTTCATATGTCCAGAACAACTACAGGGTTATGTCCAGTAGAAAAGTATCTGCATCTGTAATTGTATACATGACCCAAATCCAGGATTTCAGTCCTACAAGATATGATTTGACAGTGGAGAAGTCCCAGTAGTTATTCAAACTCCTGAAACCAAAAGTGTCCCAAAGATCACTGAAGGAGAAGGGATGAGAGGGGGAGGTGGAGTAGAAAGAGAAGTGAATATGTAAAAGGCCAACACACTTCAGGAGACTCCAGTTAGTGATAACTTATCTATTTTACAGTGTTTGAATACACGAATATTCACTGCGGATTCCTTCAAACAGAAGCTTCCTATCCAGTCAGTTACCTGGTTATGTTTTTTTTATAAGCAGTGACTTCAGGAGACCTTGGTAAATACAGCATTCTTTAAGGGTGCCCTTGTGGCTGTGTAATGTTTGGTCATAAATATAGTTCCAGGTATTAATTTTGCAAACACCAGGGATGGAGACATTTCTCGGCAAGACTGGATACAGTGAGTTCTAGTGAAGTACATTCCAATGATGGAGCACATTTCTCATAACATACCTTTATTAAACTGATTAGTGAGGTACATGATCCCTGTGTGGATATGGCTAGGCCTTTGTAGCTTTCGCTTTCAGCACAGTCTTGGATTTCTCTTAAAAATCTTGGGACAGCGAAGAAACACAGAGAAGTTCTTCCTTCCTTTTCCTTTACATCCAGTGTTACAGATGGCTGGCAGCCAAGATGCTGTGGTCCAAAATACAAGAGATTTAGGGGAAGAAATGGGTAAATTAATTCCTGGGTTTAACTAATCTCAGAAAACCCTTTGGAAGGAAACTTGAAATGAATTTGTAAAGACAATTTTTTTTAGCAAGAATGTTTTATAGGAAGAATCAGCTTTGATACCTTGGCAGATATTCTTGCAGAATGGAAGACATGGTTAAAGGTAACTGTAGCAGCAAAAAAGTCACCGCAGACTTGAACTGTGGCCCTACAAAACTCACAAACACCAAATTCTATTCCTATAGTGGAACAGGGTACCTCATTGCTGAGAACAACTTGTCCAGTACCTTAAGGAATTTAAAGACAGTTAGCTGTGAACACATGAAAGCTCTTCTTACTGTCTCGGGGTGGGTAGGAATGTCAGCTGAGCTGTATATACATTTATGCTTTTCTATGGGCTGTTGCTTCTCTGCAGACATCTAGTACAGCACCTTGGTTGTTAATGACTAGGAAAAAACCCAAGGTACTTTTGTAGATAAGTCAGGATACAGGAAGGACTTATGTGATCTATGAACTGAACTGAATGAAAAGCTCTCCCTGGTACCATAGCATAAATGTTGGCTGTGAGAGCCTTAGGTGGACTAAAGGAGAGGGCAGACATTTTGTTCCACCAAATACCCTAAAATGACTGGGATAGATGTCCAGGATGTGTCTCTGTGTGTGAAACAAACTTACTAACTGCAGTTTGAGGCCTTGTTCCATTTTGCTGAGTAAATACACCTTCCCACAACTGAGGAGAAGCTGTATCACAGGTCCAACTCTATACTATGTAAGTGTTCTGTGTAAGTGGGCCGACTCTAACTGATCCAGTCTCATCCACCAAGCCTGCTATGAAATGTTGCAGGTAATAGCCAAAATGGCAAGGTCTGCTGTTAAAGATCATTTTGGGGAGGGACAGTCTTGGATTCCTTGAAAAATAGTTCTAATACCCTATCCACGCTGATAAAGTTAAGCATGGTCACAGAAACTAATGTGTGCCCAACTTCCAGAATGGGAGGGAAAGCATATGACAGCTTTTCTGATGGCTGAATGAGCACTGTCCCCAGCAGGACATAACTGGACTGCGAACAAAACATCTGAGAGTACCTGCTGGTATTGAAGATAAAAAAAATCATTTCATATTCCCACCCCCAAGTAATTGAAGTACATTGGGAATATCTGACCTGTCATGAATGATCCAACATAATAAAGTAACTCAGGTTATTCCATGACAGTATTTAATGTGTTCAGAAAATAAATCTAACACTTGGTACAGCAATTCCGAAGTCAGTCAAATCCTGTTTAATGTGATGTAGTATGCAGAAGTTGTGTCCATGATAATTTACGGGTACTGTGAATGCCTGAGACAAAAAAGCTCTCAGTGTGCTGCATGACAACCTGATCACCTGGAGGCTAACTTCTTTTTCTTTGTTTGAAGTCCAGCAACCTTACTATGTTAGCATTTGCTAGCCAAAAGTACAGAAGGAATGTGTCTGTCTTGACTGGTCTAGGCAGAGTGAAGGATAAAGCGGCATCCCCTTGTACATCTTGTATTCTACCACTGGAATATGGAATTTTTGAAACCTCAAGCAGTCAATGAAAAGCTACAAGGGTGATTGTTTAAGTAGCTCACGATCTGCAGACAAACGTATACTTCCTGCAGGTGTAGTATGGCATGAGAATTTATGCAGGTACATGTCAGTCAAGATCTTCCTGTGGCGGAGGGGTAAGAGTCCAATTATACGATGAGATTCTGTATAATCTAAAATTGTTTCTGATGGATAAATGCTAAAGTAGTAACAAAGTCCTAAAATCACCCTTGAGCCTCCTAAGGATTCAATGGCCATGAGATGCAGTTTGTATCCCTCTATCCTTAACTGTATGGAGTCAATAAGAAGTAATGCTTAAGGAATCAAGTGTCGCCTGACAATCTGTCGGTATAGGGATGCTGTATTTTGCTGGAGGTGAACTAATACTTGTGCTAGAACTTCTGTGAAGATGCTTAATGCTGTGAAAAGGACTGAACCTACGGTGGTTCTTATCCTGTGCCAGTGTTAGATAAGGAAATTTTCTTATTGAGACAACTTCATAGAGGGCAGGTGCAGTGAAAGACAATAAATGTGAATCAGTCCTTCTTTTGCAGTTGTGAAATAATCCAGTAAGAGTTACCATCCTGAAATTTTAGGTATTTAGGTTACAGATCTTGAAGATGAGTTGCTGTCCGCTATTCTTCCTTGACAATAGGAACATACATGTTCCTGTGCTGTGATAGAGCCAATTCTCTCGCTACTAGTGCTAAAAGAATGCATCTCCTGCCAAAGCAGATTCTCAGAAGGGCCGCTCAGAAATAGATAGAAAGACCTACATAGTTTTATTTACTAGTATAGGTGTAACCAAATAACAGTAAATGCAAATGGGACATTTTATGAGCTAATTGAAAGAAAAATTCAGCGGTGGTGTTGGACAATATGAAAAAAGGGCTAGTCATGATCCTTTTGTGTAGGCATAGTGTTGAGGATACAACTTATGCAGCTAAGCATTTGGCAGATAGATAAAAACAAAATGTAAAATAAAATCCAACTTCCACCTTTTCAAGCAAACTAAATGCTGGTAAAATTCCAGCAAGGAAATTGTGTTTTCCCTGTCTACAGCATCGTGTACCATGTATATAGCATGTGGGTGTGCAGTACAGGTAGCTTATATCCCATACCCTGAAGTCAAGATGACAGAACTCTGAAGTGAACTGAGAGGTTCATCAAAGACACTTTCAATGACATCATTAAACAATTTCATCTGCAAATATCGGGTGCTGCTGAGGAACACGGCAGGATTAGAAAGAATCAGTGATCAAAATATAGAGCCTTCAACAGGAGTGTAGTGAGCTTCTGAGGGGCAAAATGAGCTCAAAGATGGGTCCTCCCTACTGGAAATAATCCCACAGGTGGGTCTTCCCTGCTGGAAAATGACCACATATCCTCTCACATTAGGTCAACCTTTCAGACACAGTGATCTCAGTTTATAGGACAAGGAACACTTGAGGGGTTAAATGAGTTCATCATCAGACATATAGATTGGTCTATATTAGTATTAAGGGTAAAAAGAAAAACTTCAGTCGTTTGATTTACACTATAACTTTCTTTAGAGAATTTATTAGATAGTATGTAAGAAAAATACATTCTTATGTAAAAAAATCTTATTCAGAAAGTTGGGGTTTTTTTTCCTGCATTACCATATTCATCAGTGTTTCAGATTCATTTATTGTTCAAGTTCTTTTGACTTTCTTTGTATTTCTTTCAGCCCTTTTATGTAGTCCCTGTGGGTTTTGCACAGGTGTATACATATGCCCAATTATTTAGGTTGGAAATTACAAGATTTCTTAATAAAAAAGGAATAAAGCTCTGGAATAATCATCCAGAATAAATGGGAAATACAAGTTAATAAATTCATTTAAATTGAAAATTGAGCAGTTTATGGAAAGAGGTAGCCAGTGTGGTTACTTACAGCAATCTAGGGAACTGATCTTTCCAGTTTCATGTTCTTTGATGTGTATAAAATAAAACTTCATTCTAGATGCTGGGAAAGAAGAAAGATTTTACAAGTTATCTTTTTCGTGTTATCTCATTCTGCAGAACATACTGTAGTTATTTATAAATGTGTAACCACCAGCTGCCTTTTCTCACAGTTTTTTTTCTCTCAAAAATACACTGATAAGCAGCAAACAAGGAACTACCATAGGACTACATACATTTGTAAACAGTTATCTTCAAAAGTAGTACAACTGGGATACATAAAAACCATGAAAAGCCAGTTAATAGGATTTCTTATGAACTTTTGGATTCCTTTTTCAGTTGCTTTATATTTTCACAGTGGAGAAAGAGAAGAGAAATGTATAATTGAAGATGTTCCCAGCGACACGTTGGTAATTGGTAGGTACCTGTCAATGTTATATGTTGATCTAACCTATGCAACAATAAAGATAGCTGGTAATGTAACAGGAAAATCTGCGATTGATGAACATTGTAAAACCATGGTGATAAGAAAGAGGGCACCCTGGAAATAAGTCCCTGCAGCAGGGGCTAGTCATAATGTTCTCAAACATTATGCGTATCCATCACACAAAGAAATGCAGGTTTCCGAAGCGGTTAACTGACTAGACAAAGAGGGTCTTCTAATCCTACAGCTTCAATGTGTGTTTTTATACATTTTGACTGATTTACTCATTCATACCAGAATTTCTGCGACTTATGAATAGGAGAGATATTTTTTTGATTAATGCTGCTCTGGAAAGAAGCAGTTCAAGATGTACTAAAGTTCCATTTCACCTGGGATATCACAAGCACATTAAATTCACCTACAAGACTGTAAATGTAAGATTGAAAGGGGATAGTAAAAAATAATATGTAATAGTATTTTTTATAAATAATGTGATAAATATGAAAGACAGCCCTAAAAATGTAATTTGAATAAAGCACACATGCTTTTGGAGGTCTCAGCATGCCTTCTATATGCTAATCTTGCCAGAGCATTACAAGTAATCAAAAAGTGTTACTTGTTAATAACCATTTTTGTAGCATTCCAGAACATTTTCTAGTGTAATAAAAATTTATTGCATTTCACGTTGTTATAAAATGCCCCTTGAGCAATTTTAATCATAAGCACATGAAATACATATATTGTTTTATTGATAATAATTTGTCTTTATATTTTTGCTGAAAAACCAATGAAGATGTTTAATATTAAGCTATGCTTTATTTAACAGATTTTTATCTATGTTTTTATTCAGCGAATTACAAAGTACAACGCTGGGATATACATAAACAAGACTTTCTTAAATCCGCTCCTGGTTTGGGAATGTTTGTGACTGTCACAACTCCTTCTGCTGAGGTAAATATGCTTTATGAATGTTTCTGTAGGATTTATGAGTTGACTTTTGGCACTGGCTGGCAACACTACCTAAAAATAATAGACACTTGAGGAAAAAGTAAATCTACAGTCTAGCAGCTAGTTCAATATTTTGATGCTGAAAGGTATAAGCACCTGTGATTTCTATCGAAGTAAATAGAAATGAAAATGTTTGATAATGATGTGTGTGGACAATTTTTGCATTACTACCAGATTTGGGAAACTCTGTCATTAAGAATAGTAAGTGACAACTCAGAAAAAGGGTTAAATTTTTAAAAAATGAAAATTCACTAATGAAGTAAAATGGTACAGAATGTACTTGAGCAGCAGAAAGGAAGGCTTATGATAAACTAAACTGCAAAAGTCAAGATTACCATGAGGCTGCATAGAGCTATCACGCATAGCAACTGCCTGTGCTGCCATGAGGTCCTGAGCTTTTTCAGCAATGGACAATTTGTTTCTGTGCCTAGACAAGGTCTTATTTTTCAAACTTTAAATGATTTAGAGAGCATTGACTTTTGTACATTGCAGAAATCTATACTATTTCAATGTTCACTGTGAGCTAAAATTGTTCATTTTTCTCTAAATCTATTCTGAAATTCAGATAAATTTAATGATGTCGGGAGGTTAATTGATTACTTTTTACACCCAATTCACAGTACTGTTTTTTGATTGTTTTGTTCATATTTGTAACGTACATACCCAACATATATAATATCTAAATTACAGGTACTATTGTCAAAATTGTATGGGTCACAAGGAACATTTTCTTTCACATCCTATCTATCTGGGGAGCATGTTATCTGTTTACAGTCTAACTCCACAAGATTTGTGGCATTTGCAGGAAGCAAACTGGTAGGTGTATTTCTTAAATATTCTTTGTTGTAATAGTATCAATTGTTCACAAACTGCAGAAATTACAAACTAGATTAGAAGCTGGTCTAACTTCTAGTAGATAATTTAATATTCCTTAGTGATTAAAGAAGACAAACCTAGAATTATGAAGATGAAGAGATAAAAAGACTCTGTTCTGATATTTAAGAAGTCAAGTTTAAAGAGACAAGACTAATAACTACACCATGATTTAATGTTTGTACAGTGCTTTGAATGTGAAAGATTCTGATCAAAAAGAACAACTATTTGGTTCAAAAAGATAGATATGCAAGATTGACTAACACAAACACTAATCATAAAGATATTCCATGTCTTCACTAACTTAGATTGAATTCCTAAAGAAAATCTAACATTTTAGTTTTTGAAAGAGATTCAAATTAAGAATATATTAGCATACTTGTTATTGTCTACTACCAACAAAGTTGATCTCAATGCAGAATTTGAAAAAAGAACTCATCAGATGTGATAGTATAGCTCTAATCTATTTCAGCAAACAATTTCATAAACATGGTTTCAAAAGTTTTATCTATATGCTTCTTCTGTAAAAATAGTTGAACAGATGAGAATTACTTTCTAGAGGTGCTTTTTTTCCCCAGTTGATCGCAAAAGAGTTAGATAACCAGCTAGATATAAACATCTCGTAAACATGTTGAGGTAGGCCAAATTTCATCCTAGATGTATGCTTTGGGAACATGTAGATGACACAGAACCAAGAAGTTAACAGTACTGGGATTACTACACTGGAATAAGTAGGTGTTCTTATGGACTGATTTATGGAAATGAGTGGAAATTTAATCATACACTTTGCAAAAGCACTTAGGTTCTGATAATAAAAAAATTTGTGGAGCTCATCAACTAAAGAGGGTAAGGGGGATAAAGCATTGGTTAGTCATAGTTAACTATACATCATGAATGTGATTCTGAGGATACACAAGGAGATTTTTATCTAGTATAGATGGAGCTGTATTAATATCAATTTACATGATGCATGCACCATGTACAGTTCTGGTCATCCTGTTTAAAAGAAGTGAATAGCTGCAGGGAAGGAGAACATTAATAGCATAAATATTAAATAAGGTGGTTTGTTTAGGTTAAGAATGCAGAAGTGAAAAAAAAAATATTGCTTTTTATATCCTCAGGAATAAAGATCACAAAAGGAAAAACATTCTTTAGCTAAGATAAAGCTTTTAGTGGTCTTCTGTAAGAACCAGATACGGTAGTGGTTATCTAAACTGCTTCAAACCGAAATTAAATAAATTAATGGACAAAGGCTACCATAAGGTTGTGAGATGGATTTTGAAATATTCAGTTAGCTAACTCTAAGAGAGCTGAAAGAAGATGTGCTCTTCATTTGTGGTCAATGTCTGAGTACATCAAACTTCTATCGTGGTAATACCAAACTCTAGGATTTCCACAGATTATCTGTTTGGCTAAAATTTTTTATTTTGTCTTGGGTACAAATTAACTTTTAGGAGAAATTTCTCCTATGAGTTTTAGTAAAATTTTTCATTCATACCAAAATAAGTTGCATAATATTGCAAGTTCCATACTTCTCTTTTCTTTCTATGGGTCTATTTCTTGGCAGGTTTGGGGCATTTTTCCTACAGATTGTACAATAGCTTATAGGAAATTGGGAGGTATTTCATACCGGATAAATCGTGTGTGGAGAATGAAAAAAGACACCCTATGGATGGTCTCCTTCCAATCTTAAATTCCTCACTGTTAGTGGAGGAAACCTAGAAGTGCATCTATAAAAAGCTTCCTGCAGTACTACTGAAAAATGTAATTTCTGCAATATTAGGATGGAATGTGAAATACAATGAGCAGTCCTAACGGTGCTCATTTTTTAAACTAGTTTGGACAAAGAATAGAAAACATTTTCATGGCGGTTGAATCAACACTAGCACAAAACAATGCTCTGACATTAGTGAAGATTGTAAATTTGTATAATTAAATTAAATTAAAAATAAAATTAAGAAACACTTTAAATATCCCACCTGATTCTGATTTTAGGAAGGATTCCTACAAGCAATTAAAACTATTTTCCTGTAATAAGCTTAATGGGAAATTGTCCATTGTTTCTTTTTTTCTAAGGTATTTTGAAAACACAGAAGACACAGTAATGAGAATATTTTTTCTGTTTGCAGCGTATCCATTTGGACATTAGAGTTGGAGAACATTTTTTGGATGAATCTATTGTTCAAGCCAAAGACAAAGTGGATGAAGTTAACTTTAGACTAGAACACCTAATTGAGCAAATTCACCACATAGCTAAAGAACAAAACTATGAAAGAGTATGTATGTTCCCTAATGGAAATGTTAAAAATATTGTACATAACCTTATCGATTTATAAAGTATTGTGAGGTTTTTTATTTAATTGCAGTGTTATTTTTAACTAACTCATAAAAATCTATTGGTATTTAACCAAAATAACATACATCATCTTGCAAATCATTTTTAAGTTGTAACATAAAAACTATAGTCATGGTGAACTCACGCTTGTAGCAACAGGTGTTATTTTAAAGCAGGAATTTCCAAATATAGTTTTCTTGGTCAGAGTCAGTAACAGCAGCTGAGCAGGTGGCAGGTACCATTGCTCATGTTGCCAGCTGTTGATTCCATGCTGGTTCGTGTGCATGAACTTTATTGGAATGGGTAAGGAAATGACTGAGAGTATATTTATATATCCCTATGCAGTTAGAAATAAAGCTCTCCTTCAAACAAGTGTACACCATTGTCTTCACTTTTCTGTACATATGCAGGCAGTCAGACTGTGTTTGAAATACATGAATTAGTTATCTAAAAAAAGAAATTTGGCTGCCAAAAGGTTCTTGACTGCAATATGGAAGTGAGTGTAAATCTAAAAATGCTTAAGTCTGTACTAATACTAGCACAATATATCTTTGTGAACAAGGGGTAGCTCTTTTTGCCTTTCTGCTTCAAGCTACAGTCTGTCTGCTGCTCAGTTTTGATTTGTAAAGATACCCACCTTATGGATAACAACAAAATTTCATTCTTATCAACATGAAAAAAGTGTTTGTTCACTACTAGGAAAGGGATGCCTGTCCAGTTACCTGGACAGCAGCATGAAACATACAGATGCCAAAAGGTAATAATTATGCTTTTCCTTTTCTCTTTAGGAGCGTGAAGAAAAATTTCGGAAGACAAGTGAAGAAACCAACAGCAATATTTTGTGGTGGGCTATTGTACAAACACTAATCCTCATCTCCATTGGAATCTGGCAAATCAAATCTCTCAGAGATTTCTTTATATCTAAGAAGCTTGTTTAAGTCCTATGAAGTAAATGCACAGATTCAAAACTTGCACGCTATTTAACATCTAACATCCAAAGAAACCCTGCGTCTATGAGAAAATTGGTTGTACATAACTTTCAAGCTTCTCTTGTCTTCTACTCTGATTCTTGCTCTAACTCTGGTTTCTCCATCTATATCAAAACCTCTGGCATCCTCTTACATTTTACTCTTTGAATTCTGTCTTTTATCAGTTTTTTTCTCCCTCTGCAGATGTGAAGCTAAATCTATAAGAAGGACTCGGTGACTAAGGCAGCATTTAAGTTCAGCTCAGGATTGTTAGGTCTAAAATAGAAATCTAAAAAATGTTTCCTAATATTTTAAATTTCTCTATGGGCTTAGTAATCTTATTCGATACTACCATAAACAGTTCAGCATTTCAGACTGACTAGGAATCAGACAGCAGGCAGAGAAACAACTACATCCCCTGTGATGCTTAATTTGGTGTAAGTGTCTTAAACTCAACCTATGTATGTGTAACACCTAGCTTTTCCTCAAATATAATTGTGTTTTCTTTTAAAACATTTAATGTTTTAAGCCACAGTGGATCCTACCCTTAAGTTTATGATCAGTGGTTGCAGCAATTACCATGGAAGAGAGAAACACAGACAATTTGAAGTTGTACTTACTTTTACTTCCAGGTCAGCCCTAAACATTAGGCTACAGAGTTGAGATCAGACCTCTCTCATAGTTATTTATGTAAATTATAGTCTTTATGAAGTATGCCAAAGTAAACCAAACTATACGTTTCTTGGTAAACACTGAATTTTTGCCTATATAATTAAGTTATCCCTACACTAAATTCTTCATTCTGTTTCTCTGTTGGAGAATTGGTTTTATTTTAATTATTCAGCAACTGTAACATGACTGTCTAAGGAACTTACTAGTTTTTTACTTAATTGTGTATTTCCATTTCACTTATTGCAGCTTGGTTGAATATATTTTTATGCCTTAATTTAGCTAGTTTATGTACAACTACCAGAGTAGTTACGGTATTGTGCAGTTACAAGTCAAAAGCTGTGGTTAAAAATTCAGATAATTAGCTCGACAGAGCAGAAGTAGTGTAAGAAGGAGTTGGAGGTGGTTATAATATGACCCATCACAGCACTTGGTTAACATGGAAAAACATGAAGCTTGAAAGAGTTCCTAGAGTGCACTGTGACAGCAGAATATTGTGGTTTGGCTTCTTACTTGTCTTTCCAGACCCTTTGCTAGTCTAAAAGGTAGTGAAAGCTGAAATATCTGTAGAACAATTATTGCTTTAAAGGCACTGCTTTCTTTCTTTTTTCATCTTCTCACCTTTTGTTTTCATTAGCAAGGAAATGGCATTGCCCTTTACGTTCACTTACATTCCAGTATGGGAATGAAAATACAACTGTGAGTATGTGAGAATCCATAAAGTTGACACAAAGTAGAGACATAAAGCAATACTCTATGGATCAAATCAATCAAAATAAAATCTCATAAAGTTACTCACTGAGGTGTGTCCTATATTTAAAAATTCTGAGACTTGAGAGCAGTCATTTGAAATGCCTGGTAAATAAGTGTTATTAAATTCACTGTTACAGAGCACTCACATCACAGCTTGTGATAACATCTTTGGTGGTGGGAAAGAAGGAAAGATGTGTTACAACCATATGGTATATGAAGTCCAACAAGAAAGTTTAATAAGGGTTTGCTACAAGGTTGTGGTTCAGACTTTAGCTGATATTTAGTGTAAGGCTCCTAACTACGTCCCAATGACAAACTTAACTCACCTCACTTACAATACACTTAAGCTTTTAGACCAAAAGGGCAGGTACCATGTCAGAATTTATAAAGGACCTGATTATATTCCTTTGTGTTAATCAGATCTGTACTCAAACCATTACTGAGACTTGGAGTCTTGACTATAGCTTAAGAGTGCTTCATTCTTCATCTATAATAATAATAAAATATCTTTGCTTTGATGAAATGTTTTCAGTCTCTTTCAAGATTTTTAATTAATTCTATAAAGCAGAAGCTGAATCATAGCTCTTTTGGGAAGCACTTTGGGGGCACTAGTCTTTATGAAGTTAAAAGGCGGAGGTTACTCCCAGGCAGTCTGTGGCTCTGTTGTACCCAGAGCTACAGCCTGCAGTGCAAGTAGGTCTGTAAGGGAATTTTTCCCTAAAATTTTCACCAAGGGAAATTAGCAATCCCTGGGGTTTTTTCAGTCTAAGAAATGAAAATCAGAACTCTTTGTTTTGCTCTTTCTCCTCAACAAAAGAAGCAACAACAAACCTGTGACAATAAAATAATATCCTTTGCAGATTCCTGCATTTAAAAGAGTGAAAAAACACTACTATTTTCCACACACCTGCTGTCCTAATGGCAGCCCCTGCTGTGTGGCTGCCTCTCTGAGGAGGACAGGGCTCGTGGCAAAGCACCTAGGCAGAGCCCTGGTGCTTGGCCCAGTTCAGGTGCCCATGTTTGGGGAAGGGAAGGGGAAATCTCTCAGAGAGGCTCCCCTGCATGGGCACCCTCTCCAGTTTGGTAGTGAGAGGCCAGAAAATCCCCTTTTTTCAGGGTACAAGGGTCAAACTGTGCTGCCCTCAGGCCTTCCCAGGCGGGGGAAGGGTGCTGCCACCCCTCACCACAGGGCCCTGTGGTGCCTCAGACTGGAGGAACATGGTGGAGGGAGGCCTGTAGGCCTCACCTCGGGGGCGGCAAGGAGGGTCAGCATCTGCCTCAGCCACCCGGTCCCCGCCTGGCCCTTCTGTCCTTCCACCCCATGGCCGTCCCAGTCTTTTGCAATGTCTGCTTCTGTGAGCCCCGCAAGCCCACCCCACAGTTCAGCCTCACAAGCTGCGGCCATGTTATCTGTGAGATCTGCCTCCAGAAAGGTAATGGCTGCTGCAGGCATGGACGTCTCAGCCCTCTGCTTCAGTGGGTCAGACAGTGCTGGCATGTACACATTTACCTTAACCATTAGTATTTCTGAGTCACTGTGGAAAGGCCTGAGCATTTCTTCTTGTCAAGCAAATGTTATTGGTAAACCTTTTCAATCCTTGCTATTGATTTTCTTTAAAACGTGAAAACCACCTGTGTCTGCCTCCAGATGAATTTGGCTGGAGCAAAGTGGTTTTGAGAGCAAGCCTTAGCCACAGAAAACTGGAGGCTTTAATAAAAGTTGAGTCTGGATGCTAATGATCTGTGATTGCATTGTAAAAAAAAATAAGATCGCATCCTGTTCTATCTGATTTTGGAAAGGGCATCTTTTTTTCATCAGTGAAAGAGCAATTTGCAAAACATAAAATTTGTTTAGGGCAGGTTTCGCTAATAGTCTTAAGACAGTCTAAATCTCAGTATTGTCACTGAAATGCTAGAAAATTTTCAGCAGCATTAGGAGGATTGGAGGTGATGTTTTGAAGCTCTTGTGTGTTGTGTCTGATTCCTGAGTCATATTCTGGGACTCCTGTGATGTGCTTAGATGAAAATCTGTGGAAAAGACAGTGGAATAAGGAAGTTACTTTTCGAAAGAAAAAATTAGCTGACAAATATAAATGTTTTTCCCTTTGAGGTTGTGCTAAATGCCATGGTTTCTGTAATTCAAATTCTGTATTTCAAAATTAAAAACTTTTGAGTAAAAGTTTTCACAGAGCTGCTGTTGATGAGAGAGAATCATAAAACACAGCCTCTAAATAGAGCTTGCAGGTTCCTAGAAGCTGAACAACAGCTTTACTTTCTGCTCTTAATATTATTTAGCAGAAAAGAACCTGAGACGTTATATATTTTTTTGATATGAATGGAATAATAATTATAATATCAGGTTTAAAATGTATTTACTCTTTAAAGGTGTTTATAAATGTTGATCATTAGAATCCTTAGAAAGGAAGCAGCTAGTAAAATAACCAGTTATAAATATTGTAGTAATTTGCATTTACTAGAAATATTTGCTAATACATTTGCAAATAATCAGAGAGATATTTTAAAAAGATAGAGTTTTAGAAAGTAATTTGAAGAAGTTTTCACTGCAGTAATTCACAAGGTAAAATTATTAATTCTTTGAAGTTACGGTTTCATATATTTTATCAAGACAACCAGCCTGGGCCCCTATCTAAAAAGTTGTATAGCTGATTGACTTTAATTCATTAGTGCACTTAAGCATACACTTAATTAAACCAGGCAAGTAGTCCTATTTAAATCAATGGAACTAAAAGTCACCTGCATTCAATGACACTAATGATATTCATAAAATCATTTACATGAATGCTTATTTGCAGGAGTAAGACCTAATGACATTCATACACATTTTCTCTGTGCAATTGTATGTAATGGTTACAGAATCAAATTCTCTATTCATGTATATTTGCATTTCTTGTATAACCTGCAGATTCCTTCCACAAGCTCCAGACAAAAGTTTAGGCGTCAAATTCTATTTAAAATATATTCAATCTCTATTTATTTGATGTATATTTTAAATATGTCTTTACCTTACAGGCAAAAAAGATGAATGTTTGATCTGTAGAACTCCTTGTCGTACATTAGTCCTTTCGAAACAGGTAAAAGAAGCTTCAGTATTGTTGTATTATGTTAACCTGTAGTTTGCTTAACAGGTAAATTATTTGCATTACAAAACACTTCTCTTTTGTATGCCAAATGTGACATGAATATTTACTGATGATAAGTTGGTAGACTTAGATACTTATGCACTGTATAGCTTTTAGTTTTATGGGTTTCTTCAAGTAAAAGCCTACAGGGACTTTTTCAGTTTTCAGATTCTGCTGAACTGTAAATCACTCCAACCTTTTCAAGAAACGTGACTGTTTACTGTGTGATGTCAGTGATTATTTTCAAAATGTGGAAAAATGTTTATTGGCTTTGGCATTTGTACATCAGAGAAAGTGGATTGTAATGAATTATTTAATGTAATGGACTGAATCGAAAACCTGCATGGTGGGGCATCAATGTTTTCAAGTGTATTGGGTTTTTTTCCTTATTTTCTCTTAAGCTTAACTATTTTCCTCATGGCTATGTGATTAAGAGAG